CCGGCTTTTTGGGTGGGACCGGCGATCTCCCCCGGACACTAGCGCCCCACGTCCACGTTTTCAAAAAAGAAACTACGTATCACGTCTATCTTATAACATTGTTGATCAAATCATGGCACGAGAACGTGGACGTAGTCCGTGCTAATTGTGCTACGTGCACAAATTGTGAATAAATAGATCACGTTTATTTTGCGACGTTGCTGATGAAATAACATTCCAATTCAAGTCTGTACTACATCCACAAATTGTAGGTGAAGAATGTGATGCATGATTAGCACGGACACGAACCACGTCCACGTGCCTAACCAGCGCGCCTTATCAGAGGCTCGAAAACTCCCGCCGATACGCGGAGAACACGTTGAGCAAAGAGGTGGCACGGAATCCTAACCAGCGCGCGTATCGACAGAGGCTTGTTGGTAAGGTGAAAAACTGCTGAGCGAAGAGGCACGGAATCCTGGACAGCGGGCCTCTTCAGAAGCTCGAAAACTCCCGCCGATACGCGGAGAATACGTTGAGCGAAGAGGTGACACGGAATCCTACTAATCCTAGCCAGCGCGCCTCAATATAGAGGCTAAAAAAACTCGCCGATACGCGAAAAACATGTTGACGAAAGAGGTGGCACGGAATTCTAACCAGCGCGCGTATCGACAGAGGCTTGTTGGTAAGGTGAAAAACTGCTGAGCGAAGAGGCACGGAATCCTGGACAGCGGGCCTCTTCAGGAGCTCGAAAACTCCCGCCGATACGCGGAGAACACGTTGAGCGAAGAGGTGACACGGAATCCTACTAATCCTAGCCAGCGCACCTCGATATAGAGGCTGAAAAACTCTCGTCGATACGCGAAAAACATGTTGAGCAAAGAGGTGGCACGGAATCCTAACCAGCGCGCGTATCGACAGAGGCTTGTCGGTAAGGCGGAAAGCTGTTGAGCGAAGAGGCCACGGAATCTCCCACTCTCATACGGCACGTAGGCCCCGCCTCTTGGCGCAAAAGCAGCATATATGCGTGGGTGGGGGTAAGGCTCCCCCTCCATGGCGCGCTGGCGGTCTCCGCCCCGAATACCTCTGCCACCTACTTAGTTAACGTGCGCTCCTAATACTTTATTCGATTTAAACGTAAGTTTCTGACGCTGCGAAAACCGGCTTTTGCTTTACCTCTCATCTCTATATGTATACTTTTAACAATATTTATGATCCTTTGTGCATCTCTACAGATGCGTAATTAAATTTAAACTATTATTTAATTATAATGTAACATTAAAATTACTTCAAATTTATTATAACAAATAAGTAATTTACGTATAAGGCGCGGCAACTTATTTCTTACGATAAAACATAATAAACGCTGAAAATCGTTAAATTTGTTAATTATTGTGTAACAATAATGTTCTAGAATGTTTTATTAATAAGATCTTCTCGAGAAAGTATATACTATATATATGCTTCGCATTGAACGACACGTGAAATTGCTACTGTATAAAGGCATTTCTCGGAAAATTATCGCGCCTATATATACTATCTCGGCGGAGGATTTGGATGTTCCTCCTTTTCATTATCATCCATGCAACAATATTTTAAATTATTTTATCGTTTAATTCTTTTCAAGGTAGTATAAGACTAGCATTAAAGAATACAAGGATTACAGATATATTGGTAATAATCTAGCGTGTTGCTTTTCGGAGCTTCGTCGAGTCCCTTATATCAGATCACATTGCGCCTATTCTCTCCCGTCGGCACTTGGATAGACGTGGGGCATAGTTCCTTTCTTGAAAACGTGGACGTGGAGCGCTAGTGTCCGGGGGAGATCGTCGGTCCCACGCAAAAGGTCGGCGTGGCCGCTCTCACGCTTCTCTCCGCCCTCCGGTCGCGAGTTCTGTTCTTCCGTGCCGTGACGTGCGAACAGCGAATAGCGCGAGCAAACGCGAGCCGAGCCCACATATATCTCTGTTCGCATTGATCACCGTCGGCGCGATGGCAGTCCACTGGATCCGCACAGCAGTAAGTAGGCGTCAAATTGCACCGTCCACGAAATTACCCAAGGAACCGCCGTCGAGCGCAACCACTCCGCCCGCCTATACGTTCTCCTACCTCCGAGAAAGGTTAGAACTCCTCGCTTCGCGCACCGACGTCGATGTACCGTCCTCCATTTCGTCTTTGCTCTTACGTCTCGTACGCTCTCTTGCGCGTATCCTCTGTCTCTCTCCCTCTCCTTCTACATTTCTATCTTCGTCGCTGTTCTGTTTCTTTACGATATAGTTTAATGTTCTAATTTCGTCCGGCTGCCCGGCTTCCACCTTGACGAGCCTCCCTCCTCCGCATTAGGAAACGGATATCTCTCCTCCGGACATTCTAATTAATCTAATTGCTATAATTTCGACGAGAGTCGTTTTGAAATTATCCCCCGCGATTGTCAGCTTGGCTAGATAATATATTGTTCCTTCATACTCGTGGCGCGGAGAATCGAGCTTGTCACACAATTCTACTGGTTTTGATCGTCTCTTTAAACCGTGTGATTTGATGTGCTAACAGATCTCTTCAAAAATTGCTGGTGCACGGCTTTACAGCAGCAAGGTACACAAATGCACCCTCATTCCTGGAGATGGTATCGGACCCGAGATTTCCGTTGCTGTGCAAAAAATCTTCGATGCTGCCAAGGTGAGGTATATTCGTGTTTTATGGCTATAATACAAGATTGATTCCTTGCAATTGCCACTACACACATGCTTGATTTACAAAATAATCTTATCCTTCTTAAGATTCTTCAGAATGCTTCATTCAAACACTATTAGTTTACATTTAAATCATGACTTATGTTCTATATTTGACCTATACACGATAGGTCACGCGACATTCTTAAACAATTGTTACGCGATTCAGTCTTATTTGGATCAGTTTTTATCTTATGCCCTGACCTACTATGCAATTTAGGAGAAGGAATTTTTTTCTATTTGGTTAAAAACATCTTTCTTCACCACTGATTAGCTTATAATCAGAAGGCTTAACAGCTTGCAATAACACGATTACTCAATTCATAATATCTCTTTTAACTGTAATCTCTTTTAATGCGCTTGATATTCTTATCTAGACATGTTATTGACATAAGATCGGAAGAGCACACGT